TGCTATGACTAAAGATTTAAAAACTTTACATTTGTTTCAATAAAAGACTCAAAAATATTCTAAACTTTTAAATGGTAAAACATAATCAATTTAAAATATTTATGGCAAAATAGCATATCCAAGAAATGGTAAGCCAAAATAAAATAAAATATTACATAATAATTCCTTCAATATATTCACCATACGTACTCACAAGTCCGGATCCAACCAAATACTGTAACATAAACTTTTATAGAATTTAAAATCAAGAAAAAAAACTAGAGAGAGAAAAAGAAGCTAGATTTAGAGAGAGAAATAATGGCTGTAATGATGATAATGAAGCTGGCATTTTCTGATTTTTAATATAAAGGATAATTCTCTATGAAATAAGAGAATATGTAGTTATTGCTTGAAAATAATCTTTATTTTTTCAGTGTTATGATGGATTCTTGTAGTTAAAGCATATAAGTGCATAAACATTTTTGGTCGAACAAAAGCATAGCATTTTGGACCATCATGATTTTTTAGTTATTACTATTTATAGTGTTTTCTTATTTACATCATTTATATTTACGTACGTTGCAATGTAGCATAAAAGAAGAACTCTATAATTTGAGAACCAATTCCATATTCGTAATTAAATCATAGTTTAATTTCAGCTTTAAGAAATCATATACTTGCATTTTTGAATGTCGTGCTTGCATTTTTGAATATTCGATGGACCCATTTCATTTCTCAAGTTATTAATTATTTCATTTCAGTTCTCAAGTTGTAGGAGGACTTATCAAGAAGATACGTTATGAATTCAATTTCACTAACAAAAACTGTGCAAGAGGTAGTCATATGGTAAGTTGGAAACTCACTTAAGATATTTCGAATAAAAAATAATTAGAGGTAAGAGATAATAATTCAAGTGAAATCATATTTTTGAGTAATATACGAGTTTGCTTGGAAAAAAAAGAGTAATATAAGAGTTTGTGACATCGCGAAAGTGTATTTTACTCAAATGATTGTCCATATCTATAACTTTTTTTTTACCTTAGTTCAACTCTATTAAATCAAATTAAGTTTTTTTTGCATCGAAAGATTAAAAAGAAATCATCAGATAAAATAAAATTTGGTACGAATATATAATAAAAAATGATCCGAACATATAGAAATGTACAAAATTTAGCAAGAAAACCTCTTAACTTTTTTTTAAGCTTAATGAATTTAATAACTTGTTTGAAAAAATAAGTTTGTATGTGTTTAAATTTATATGTAAAGTTTTTTCGGAAAAGTATATTCTTTTGTTATTTTGCTAAAAAGAAATTTGATTTTTCTTCTTTAAGATATATACTTTTTAACTATGTCAGCAATTCATTTTCTTATTTTTATTTATATAATAAAGTCGTGCATCTCTCTTTCTAGACATGCTAGAATTTTAAAATTTTGACTTTTAGAATTTTAAACATTATTTTGATACTGATTCTCAAACATTGAATATACAGTAAAACCTCTATAAATTAATACTCGATAAATTAATAATCTCTATAAATTAATAAATTTCTCCGGTCCCAAGTTGGGACCAGTGTAATTTTAGACATATTTCGATAAAATAATAAGATAATAATTTTTTTGAAAATCCTTTGTAAATATATGGTCCCAATAATATTATAAATTAATAATTAGGTAAAATTTTCAAAATATATGTATATATAGACACATTAGTTTTTGTTAGAGTTTATTTCTAATATTTTACTATATCAAAAATTGTTAGCATTCTCTTTCAAGACATAATAATTATTATTTTCTTTGTGATTGATTAAATAAAATACTAATTATCATGATTAAATCTCATTTTTAAATATTTTTCTGAAAAAACTTTCAAATTAGGAAAATCTCTCTATAAATTAATAATTATTAATTTATCGATAAATTAATACCTCTATAAATTAATAGATTTTCATGATCCCAACATTATTAATTTATAGAGGTTTTACTATACCATGATCTTTTTGGCTTATTTTTTCTAAATCAGATGATTTTCTCTTAAATCTATGCATAATTAATTATAGTTTTATTGATTTTAACAAATTATATTCTGCAGATTTTTTTATTGATTAAATTGTGTTTTGTTAGATATTAAATGACCAGTTTATCTAAAAATTATCAAGTTTATATATTCTGCATATTTTTTTATTGATTAAATTGTGTTTTGTTAGATATTAAATGATCATTTTATCTAAAAATTATCAAGTCTACCATAGCTATAGTTTTAACTAACCCTTTAATATATGTGTGTATTTACTAAAAAAATCATCTATTATAGAATGGAAGGATTATAAATTTTTATATATTTCCTTAAAATAAAAATTATAATGCCAAAAAAAAAATTACAATTAAAGTTTTTTCAAAAAAGATTTGTGAACCCAAATTGCTTACCAAAATTATTCATTCAACTCTTTTTAATTTTTTTTTTGGCAACATTGTGGGATGTCAATTTATGCCGACTCAATCAATATATTGTGGTTAGGTTTTTTTATTTTCTGGTAATAATTCTGAGAGTGAAAGGAGTCTCCTTTTTGTCTCTTTCTGTCTTCGTTTTCAGAATTTTAACTCACATTTTCTCCGATTTGCTCTTCTCTCTCTCTCACATCTCTTTGATTTGATTCTTCTTTGAGACAACGGATCCAAATCAGACAACACTCTTGAACTAAAATCAATGGAGATTCATCAGATTCCGATGCAGTTTCTTCTTCTTTAAAAGTATAATTCAGGTAAAAAGTTTCGCTTTTTCTTTCTGGGTTTCTTCTTCTCTTCCTGAATCTGTCATTGTCTTAGTCAAAGTTCTTACCTTTCACGTTTTCTCAGATTCGCCCACCAAGTGTTTGTTGAAATTCCCCAAAGAGAGATGAAGGATTTCCCTTCTTGCTTTGGTGAAAATGGTGTTCAAGTTGCGGATTCGTCGTCTTCGAACTCTGGTAAAAATGCTCAGAATCTTGTTACTTGTATCTACCAGTGTCGTATCCGTGGAAGGAATTGTTTGATCACTGTGACATGGACTAAGAATCTGATGGGTCAAAGTGTAACCGTTGGTGTTGATGATTCTTGTAACCAGAGTCTTTGTAAAGTCGAGATTAAGCCTTCTCTGTTTACTAAACGAAAAGGGTCGAAGAGTTTAGAGGCGTATTCGTGTAATATCGATGTTTTTTGGGATCTTTCGTCTGCGAAATTTGGATCAGGTCCTGAAGCTTTGGAGGGGTTTTATGTTGGTGTTGTTGTTGACAAAGAAATGGTTTTGCTTCTTGGTGATATGAAAAAAGAAGCTTTTAAGAAGACGAATGCTTCGCCTTCCTCTTTAGGTGCTGTGTTCATTGCTAAGAAAGAGCATGTTTTTGGTAAAAGAGTGTTTGCAACGAAAGCTCAGCTTTCTGCTGATGGGAAGATTCATGATCTTGTGATTGAGTGTGACACGAGTGTCACTGATCCTTGTCTTGTTGTTCGTGTTGATGGGAAGACGATGTTGCAGGTGAAGCGGCTTAAGTGGAAGTTTCGTGGCAATGATACGATTGTTGTTAATAGAATGGCTGTTGAGGTTCTTTGGGATGTTCATAGTTGGCTCTTTGGGTTGCCTTCAGCGGGAAACGCAGTGTTCATGTTCAGGACTTGTCAATCTACCGAAAAGAGCTTGTCTTTCTCACAGGACATGGTGACAACAACAAACTCCAAGTCTCAAAGTTTTGGTTTTTCGTTGATTCTGTATGCTTGGAAGAACGAGTAGAACAAACAAAAAAAAGTGAGTTTCTGGGTGCTAACAAAAACCTTTAAAAGAGTTTGTTGATTCCTTATCGACATTTTTTTTTCTTTATAGCATGATTAATGAGTTGATTCATAATTGGTTTCTGTGATATATATTTCCTTACAACAATGATGGAACCAGTTTAGTCTTGACGAATGCGATCTCTGTATACATCTGTTACTTTTGTCATAGAACCTTGTTTCCTTCTTCAGGTGGATAATGTGAAATCGCGAATACATATATCCCTCGTTCGATTGTCTTTTGATTTTCGTCTGGTCCTTTATTAGCTTATTAGCTTACACTGCTCTCTGATCTTGTAGCTGGTGAAGTTTTTGATGTTTAGCAAACTTTTGCTTACCTTCTTTGTACAGAGGCATATAGAGATAGTCGGATTTGTACATCAAGATTCTTAAATTGTGTATGAGTAAGTCAGATGTTTCTTAGCTTTCACAATCTGATTCATTGACTTAACCTGCTTTGTAAGTCATACAAGACCGCTGAAGTTTCCGGTTTAGATAGTGTTAAAGTTCAAACCAAGAAGTCTCAAGTTCTTTCAACACTGCAAAACAAAAATGTTATTGTGTAAGTTTCAAACATGAATTACTTGATTTGTCTAAAGCATAGCTCTCTAAAGCTAAAAAGCGAAAAAATATTGTCTTTGTCCGAGAGATTCTATTAGTAAAAACTTTTGAAAAAATTTGAATTGTCAAGTCACGGAAACGTTCTGTAGAGAGCAGACAGTTTTAGATACTGTTCTGTGTAATGAAAAATTCAAACTTCACGCTGTTTAGCTAAGAATCTCTGCAACTACTTGCCGTTGAATGCCTCTGTCTTTTTGTGGTCGGAGAAGTACACATGATAAAGTCATCAACTTCAAAGTGAGGAAGAGTGCCTTTTTTTTCCTTCTGTTACTGCAACATTCTTTTGAGACATCATCACATGTTTTGTTTTTTCTGTTTCGGTTCTGTACGGTTCCACCCAAAGTACAGCAATGTTTTTCCTGGCCCATTACGCTTTTACCTTAACATAGGCCCATTTTTAAAAAACTAGAGAAAGGTATATATATGACTTCGCCACTTTAGGGCTTTGAACATTCGATCATAGCTTTGGTTTCCTTGACAAGTCTTCTGCTTCTTTCTTTTGTTATATCTTTCATCTATCTACTGGTGATATATTGTGGCTGCACTTCACAAATCATCCTCTACCAAATCATCCTCTACCAAGAAGATTGTCGTCTACTATGATTTTTTCTACTTTGAAAAAAAGAAGATTGTCCTCTTCTAGGAATTCCAAAGTGGCAAATCCATCGTTTTTGTCGCTTCCAGATGAAATCGTCTTGAACTGTTTAGCCCGCATATCAAGATCGTACTACCCGAAACTCTCCCTAGTGTGCAAGACCTTTTGCTCTCTCATCAAATCCTATGCTCTAACCGTAGAGCGACTGCGTCTTCAAACCCTTGAAACTCTTGTTCATGTCTACTTACAGCTTCCCTATAATCCTCGTCCCACCATGTTCACACTGTGGATAAAACCTGGTCAAATCCTAACAAATCAACTCGAGAAGGAGGAGAGGTCTACTGGAGATACTCGTTTGGTACAAGCACCTTCTTCATATAATTCTAGTGAACCAATGTACGTGACAGAGGTAACGCAATGACCCGTCCTCTGACGTGTTAGTTGGTAATAAGGAAGAGCTTTTTTGGCGTAAAACCATCAACATGACTGTAGCTAGAACAAAACCTAGTGCATACAACTTCAATGGGAAAATATATGTAATGGGAGGTTGTGGGGCTGATGAATCCGAGAATTGGGGTGAGGTTTTCGATATAAAGACTCAAACTTGGGAACCTTTACCTGACCCTGGCGCTGAGCTGCGCTTTTCTTCTATTAGAAAAATAGAGGTGATCCAAGAAAAGCTTTATGTTAGAAGCAACGAGAAGAACGAATCAGTTTACGATCCAAAAGAAGGTAAATGGGAGGTTACAAAAAAATCATCAATATTGTTCGATAGATAATGTATGGTATAATTGTGACTTACAAAGCTGTAAGTGGTATGACTCGAAACTTAAAGAATGGAGAGTGGTCAGAGGTTTAGATATGTTGAACAAGAATCCTCGTTGTGGTATGATTGAAACAGCTAACTATGATGGGAAACTTTTACTCTTATGGGACAAGTTCGTGCATCATCTTCAAGACAAAGATATTTGGGGTGCTATGATTGCACTTGAAAGACGTGAAGGTAGTGATGAAGTTTGGGGAAACGTTGAGTGGGCTAATGTTGTGCTTACGGTTCCGAGTTCATACGTTTTCACGTTTGGTTTAAGAAATCGGGTTTAATTAAATATAATCATGTTTTTTGTTTATTGGGTTTTCGGCAATTCTATGTTAAAATGATTTTAGCACTAAATGTACTTAAAAATGTATATATATACTAGGTTTTACCCCGTCATACACTACGGGTCCATAGTTTCATATATTTGTTGTCAGAAACTGTAATATTTCGGTATTGTGTTAAGTTGGATTATAAATTGTACATTTTCGTAATCAAAAATGTTTATATTGTTTGTTCCTCACATCTACAACGTTATTCTTTAACAATCGTATAAAAGTGACTGTTGTTCAGTACTCTTAATACCATATATATAATCTAGACAAATATTAATTTCTCCTTTATGATAAAAGTAATCAAATTATGAAATTGAACCACATATATAAGACAAAAAAATATTAAGAGATCCATTATGATTAAACGCAGAGGTTGTGATTGCGGTTGCGGGAGTCTGCGAAAGCGGGCGATTGCGATTTCAAACGACTGGTTTAGCGTTTGATAATGGGTACATTTGCAGGAGTTTATGACTGGTTGACCAATGACTGCAATAGCGGCTACATAAAAAATTTAGAAAATAATTATTATTTTAGAAAGTAATGTTAATATATATTTTTTATTTTACAGATTTTCCTTTTTCAGTTTTTTTTTTTTAAATCAATCGCAATCGCTCGCAACCGCAAACGCTTGTAGGAAAGAGCTTTTTAAATCCAGCGATTTTGAGCGATCCCAAGTGGTGTGAAGCGTTTTTTATGATTGGTACCAAACGGTAGCAATCATAATCGCACGCTAGCAACCGCTGGGCGGATGAGAGCGAGAGAACCAATCAACACCTTAGGCCCGCATATTTGTTTGGGTCCATTTGTAAAGTTGTATTTGTCAATAATAAAATATATATTGTTAATCCCATTAGGCCGAGCATATTTGTTTCGTTAGACATATTAATTCCTAAATAATGAAGGACTCTTAGCACTTACATAATTAGATTCTCTTTCGTTAACAAAGTATTCACAACTAAAGTGTTATGTCCGAATAAGTTGTGTTATTTTTAAACTTATTTATTTACCCCAAGAAACATATTTTGGAGAGAGTGAAAATATCACCTTCAAGTTGCGAGAAGGAACTCTAAATTTTTAAATGGCCTTTAAGTTTACCTCTCTTACAGCAAATAAAGAATATAACATGAATTGATTCAATGTCTATATATATAACATCATTATCTCATAAGAACAACGAAGGTCAGCAATTTTTTTCCTCTGGTACTCAAGACAGCTATCATTTTCCCCAGCTAGCTGCAACGATGGCATCAAACTTCACATTCTCACGAACAATGAGGGCAAGACCATCTTATGGTAGTCTATACGTAATAATATAGAGTTGTTCAATATATGATAGAATATATAGGTAGTCAAATTTATTCAGGTTGATTAGAACGTACGAATGAGTAAAATCATAGACTTCGGGGAAAGGAGGATTAATGTGAAGTTGAGATGCATCAAATGAGTTAGAAACAATTTTGATGCCTGAAAGGATACAGAAAGCAATATATCTGATTTGTGTACTATTGGTAATTTATTCTGACTTTATAAAGGAGTAAAGTATTAACCGTTGTATGTTTTGATTTTAGCAAATTGCAGGATTCAAATGAGGAGGACTCCTTCATGCTCAACACAAACTCTATAAGCTTGTGATGCAAACGTCCCCCACAAGGTACACGATAGACGCTCATCCCAATTTCGCGATAAAAACATATAGTTTAAATACGTTAAGTATATATTTTGAATACGTAAAGTATATGGATACAGAAGAGAGTCCTTACGTCTCATTCCTTAATTCAAGATCAATCTTCGTAGTTGACTGTTTGTCTCAATGGTCTCAATCTCGCCAATATGATTTGACCCATTACATCTGAAAAATTCAGAAGTAGAACATTAATCGATTAACATAAGATTTAGATATAATGTTGAAATAAATACAAACGCCGAGCTATGTATTGTATACTTACCAATTAACATGGAAGGATTCATTCACCATTCTGAATTTTTGTAAACATAGCCAAGGACAAAAAGTTTGAATCAGAAACATGCTCGCTTATCGTCACGACGGTACCGTTTATGAAAGCCATCTTGTAGAGATGGTGGGTTGGACGGAATTGACCAGTAGCATGAGTGAGCTGGAAATTCTCGACGAACCTCCATTGACCAATTGTTAAATTAGTCACATAACGATTAAAAGTTGATCATGGATGTTATTAACATTTTCATACATACATGAGTTGAATTGCACTAACCTTGTCGTTAGAGAAGATCAACTCGAATGTCTCTCCAGTCATGTTTGTGTATTGGCGCCAAGAGTGTAGCACTTTAACTTGGACTCTCTAAGCTGTCTTGTAAGGACGTATGTCCCTCAGGTATGCAAACGTAGCAGCCATGAAAAAAAGCTTTTTGAAAAGGGTTATTGCCGTAGGGATATTAGAGTGAGGTGAGTATGTGGTGTATATGATTTAGCTATATATAGTGTTGGGAAGAAAAAACCACTTAAACCTAGATTCATAACAGGCATGGGGATAAAATTTAGTATATTTTTAATATTTTCGAAATGGCAATTTGAGATTTTCAATGGAGGGATATTCCAAATATATACGTGGTGGCAGTAACTTTCTTTTTTCATCTCAGGAATATATGAATATTTGATTGCCACAATTGTGGAGGGACGAAGATACGCCTAAATTTAAGGGATGAAGTTTCGATTTGGGTAGTAATATATGGTTTATTAGTTATGATATTATATATGATATTACCTTGATTATGGGTTGACGTTTTCGTATGCATAGGAGAATTGAGGGATCAAATACTGTGTTAAATATATTCAAATGGAAATGGAAGTTATTAATAAGCCGGTTACTGCGTTTGAGAAAATCAAAGTCACTTAACAACCGGCTGATTATATTAATGACATATTTAATGGGAAAATTCCATAAAAATTCCCCATATAATTTTAATTTGGAACTTTAATACTCAATGTTATTTGGTTGGAAATAAAATGCATGGTTTATTAATTTGTTGTCTATTAATACATCAAGTATATAAAAATTGTCGAATCGAAGAAATCGCTTAACAAACGGTAATCGGATTGACGGAATCACTAAACCGGGTTTAATGGAATTACACTAAACTTAGGGTTTATCGATCCCAATTCGATTTGGGATAATAGCAAAGGACAATGCAGTCTTTGGATAACCCCAAATAACCCGTGTGTTTAGGGATTAGTAATTTCGTCAACCTCGGTTTAGTGATTCCGTCAATCCGATTAAACGGTTTATTCGATTCGACAATTTTTATATACTTAATGTATTAATAGACCAAAATTTAATAAATCATGCATTTTATTTCCAACCAAATAACATTGGGTATTAAACTTCCAAATTAAAATTAGATGGGGAATTTTTATGGAATTTTCCCCATATTTAATCTTCTTTTATCATCAGAAATGAACATTATGAGAAGGGCAGTCAATGGTAGTATCGCAACATTGGATCCGATTAATGCAATTGAGATCTTAGTCGAAAAAAATCACCGACCCGTTTTGAACTATTTACCACACTAACCTTAATGATAAAACGCTAATTAGTAGTGGGTAATCGGTGTCCAAAAAATTCTAAACAACAGTGGCAAAAAATTTGTACTTCAAAAATGTTATAATAGATATAGATATATACTATGATTTATCCTGTGGTACACAACGGTTCCATTTTTTTATGAAAATATGGAAAGATCCTTAATCAAAATTCTATTGGTTTCTAATTTTTTGATAACAACTGGAATATAACCATATCTTCAATATATAGTAATATTTTTTAAATTTTTTTTGATCAAGATAATAATAAATGAGGATCGGATTTTCGATTTCGAGTTTTGTTTAATAAAAAAACTATTAGAAAAGATATTAAAACGTCGTCATCTATATAAAATAATAAATCTTTAAAATTATTAGAATAAATGTTTTTAAAATTAATAGTTCTTAGTAAAGTCTTTCTGAACACAATTATGTCTTTAAAATATTTAGAATAATAAATCTTTAAAATTGATGACAAAAAAAATATTTAAAATTATTAGTTTAATAAAAAAATTGTAAAAGCTTAACATTTAATTACTATCAATAAATTGGTTAGATTTCATAAAATCTTTTTTTTGGTTAATTATTAATAAGTTATAAGTTTAAGTACGTAGTATTATTTTTTAATTTAATATATGTTAAAATAGATTGTAAGAGAAAAATAAAACAAGGTATTTTTCCAAATTTACCTACTCTTATTTTAATGTGTCACCAATAATTATAAATTCGACTTCGTCGCCTATAAAATTCTTTTATATTCTCCTTTACGATTTAGGGTTTTGAACTCTCTCAGATCCAGTTTCAGTCTCTCAGACGAATCTTCTCGTTGGCTCTTCTTCGTGGTGTTAAGAGTGATTCTGGAAACGTTTGGAGAATCCGATGGCTAGTCACGTTTAGGGTTTTGCTTGCTTAGAAAAATCAGACAAAACAGTAGATCCGGTGTTGTTCTTTTGCACTTCAGTTAGAGAAAGTGATCTCTACGATGTATTCAGAAGAAACCTCAAGGAGATCTTCTTTTGCTTCTAAGAGACATCTCGAACAATGTGAAGAACAAAGGAAAAGATCGAGACAGAGTAGTTTCCGTGACCAGAACGTAAGCATCCCTCAAGGTTGGTTAGATTGTCCAAGTTATGGTCAAGAAATAGGATTCATCGTTCCTTCAAAAGTCCCTCTCAGTGAATCTTACAACAACTGTGTTCCTCGGGACAAAACATACACTTTGAAGCAGTTGTTAACTAATGGAAGGAAGAATCTTGGTCTAGTGATTGATCTCACCAACACAACCCGTTACTACCATCCTCAAACCGAGTTAATACAGAACGGTGTCGAGTATGTTAAGATTCGTTGCAGCGGTCGTGACGCTGTGCCTGATAATGTGTCTGTGAACACATTCGTCAACGAGATTGATCAGTTCAAGGAACATAGCTCCTCTACAGGGAAATATGTTCTTGTCCATTGTACTCATGGGCATAATCGTACAGGGTTTATGATTGTTCATTACCTTATGCGGTCTAGACCAATGATGAGTGTTACACAAGCTTTGAAAACGTTTTCTGATGCTCGTCCTCCTGGGATCTATAAACAAGATTATATTGATGCTCTATACAGTTTCTATCATGAAGTTAAGCCTGGGAGTGTTATATGCCCACCAACTCCTGAATGGAAGAGGTTTGACGAAGTTAAAGACGACGACGATGATGCTTTACCTTACCGTGCAGTTCAAGGAAAAAATCAGGAGGAGAATGTGATGAAGTTGTGTAATGATGACATTTTAGGGGATGATATATCTTATAATCAAGAGGTTGCTTACCAAAAATTATTCAATGAAATGCTGAAACCGGAAAGTTTTATGCAGTTCCCTGGCTCGCACCCTGTATCGTTAGGTAGGAAGGCGTTACAACTCTTGAGGCAGCGGTACTATTACGCGACTTGGAAGGCAGATGGAACGCGGTACATGATGCTTTTGACTAGAGGTGGATGTTATTTAGTAAACGGAGATTTCAGATTTAGAAGGGTACAAATGCGGTTCCCTTGTAGGCATGACAAAAGTGATTATAAAGTGCATCATAACACATTGCTTGATGGAGAGATGGTTGTAGATGCATTTAAGGATCGATCAGGAAGGGAGTACCAGGTGAGGAGGTACCTAGTGTATGATTTGGTAGCGATCAATGGTGAATCAGTAGCAGAGCGGCCTTTTAGTGAAAGGTGGAATATGCTTGAAAGAGAGGTGATCAAACCGCGTAACGATGAGAAGAAGATCGCGAATCATTGGTATAGATATGAGATGGAGCCTTTTGGCGTACGTATCAAGGCTTTTTGTTTACTCTCTGCTGTGGAGAAGAAGGTTTTCAACAAGTTGATTCCATCGCTTTCGCATAAATCAGACGGTCTAATATTTCAAGGGTGGGATGATCCTTATGTTTTCGGAACGGACCATTGTCTACTGAAATGGAAGTTTGAGGAAACCCTTGATTTTCTGTTTAACATGGACAAGTATGGTCGTAAAATGCTCTTCCTGCGAGAACGTGGGCGGATGAAGCTTATGCAAGGTTATCTGATTGAATTTAGAGGTGATGGTTGGGAGAATAATCCGGCCAGCTACTGTGGGAAGATAATAGAGTGTTCATGGGATAAAGTGAAGAAAGTATGGGTTAGTCTGAGGATCAGAGTTGATAAATCTACACCCAACAGTATGAAAACTGCTCTTAGTGTGATAGAGGTCATTAACGATGACATAACAAAGGAAGTTTTGCTGAAGGAGATCAACAAGATTATCTGTCTTCCAATGTACGGTGATCGCATTCGAAAGGATACAAAAGAAGCTGAACAACGTAAGCTTGAAAACCGTAAAGGCTAAGGAGTGGTCGGAGCTGGAGAAACCATTTCAGTCGAACGCGATTGTAGGCATTAAGTCTGTTTCAATTTGAGTATACATGCAGTAGTCAGATAACAAATAGATCATTCGGTTTTGGTATGTAACAATAAACAAATTTCTCTTCAGTTTAAAGGAAGTTCTTTGAAATTCGAGTTCGATTATTTTGACTATCTACTACTGCTAAGTGTGCTAATGGCTCGTTTTCTTCTTGAGAGCCAGAACATTGTTAGCTTGCGATCAAATTTTCAGGCTTCTTAATACGGAAGATATGAGCTGGACTTTGGCTGGAGCTTTTTGCCTGTACTCTTTCTCTACTGCAGCTGCAGCCAGAAAATTAAGTTCTGGGGCTGCAGTTGCGTCTTTGTCCTCTTTGTTCCTGCCTTTTGAGAGCTGTGCAATGGCAGATGCACACTGAAGGAGGAAAACCAGATTTCGACAATTATGTCAGTTGCAAATAGAGAAGATCTGTAAAAATTACCTTTGAAGAGGAGAAAGAGAGTTTACCAAGCAGATTCCTAAAAGAGCTCTGGTGTTTTTGCCGCCGGTTAAATCGATGGTGGCTGCATAGTATTTTCTTGCTGAGATAAGGTTCTCTATTCCACCGATAGTGTAAAGAACCTAATTCCAAGTTATGAGTTTCATAGAACTACTACTAAATTCAAATTTGATCAAATGTCGTATGAATGAGGAAGTTGAACTTACATCAGCATAAGCTAGGTGGTACAGAGGAACAATAGGCTGAGATAGTATGAGCTCTTCATAGCAGAAAGCTGCTTGCTTGTACCTGTAACCGAGACACAAACCATATATTGGGTGGGAACGCCAAAGAGACAGTCTGAAATGAAAATTGATGTTACTAAAGGAACAAAAAGGTTATACATTTGCAAGGATAGATAAAGCTCTGCAAGTTCTCTCCACGCATCGTGATCAGCCATAAATCTACACACAACAAAAACGATTAAATGATATAACCCGGTGGCTCTCTTTCATTTTCATATGTTAATTGGGACAAGCAAGCACTCACAGTTCAAGATATTTGTTAAGAAGCTCAATGGCTACTGAAGGTTTTCCAAGGGCCTTGGATATGGCCACTCTTCGTTTGTGTATCGCCTGTATGAGACATTTAAGTTGTACTTACAAAACTGTACATTTAGAAGAAAACTGTGAATGGTTTTATCGAGAAAAAGGTATGAGAACTTACTTGGTCGAGTGGATTATCCTCCAAAAGGCTTGAATATGCTTCCTCAGCCTCTCCCCATAATCCTTTTGATTCAAGCAGTAGTCCCTCCAGCCTCCCTATCATTCCAAAATGAGACTTAAACTTGGACCAATATAAACTATACTCGAAAGAATCTCCATTTCAAAATAACTAGAAATACTATAAGTAAACCAACAATGGCCAAGTAGATTAACTCTAGTCACAGCTTTAACAAGTTAGTTAACACTTCACACAGCTAACTTAACTAGAAAACTTTAGATTTGATCAATTCTGCTTAATTTCCAGAAAAGAAAAAAAAAATGGAAAATACAATGTTTGCATTCTTGTTCAAAGAAATAGTTGTCAATACATGAATTGAATGTTCTAGAAAGCCAATAAAGTAGAGACGAGCACATGCCGATACTCTTCAATTTATCACTGCTAATAAATTCACTTACCAACCCTTTTGCTCCCTGGAAAGTTTTTCTGCAGAACCTTAATGCATTTCTGCAAAACAAATAACATCCAAAGGTGAACTCATCATGAGATATCAACGTCGATTTCCCACAAGCTAAGAGAAGCATGAGATAAGAAAACCATTCATAGGAACAAAACTGATGAAATAACTTTGGAAAATTGGAGGGTTTGCTTTCTCAATCATTCATTCTTTGGGAAAAAAAAAACTATACACTTAATTCCTATCACAATGCATCCATTCTATAGACTATAAATATATAACGTTAAAAAATTTGGCTTTGCTATGAAACAAAAGATATATGGAGCAAGCCAACACTTAACATAAGATGATCCACTATATAAGCTACTTCTCAAGGTACCATCAGAAAGCAAATATACACACCTGTGCGACGTCAACACATTGACAATCCATAGCTGCAATTGCCACCTGCTCATATAAGGTCCATTCTGTACAAACCAAAACAAAAAGAGTAGGAGATTCATTTAGTTACAAGCATATAAACATAAAGCTGCAACACACCTTTATTGCAGACTTAAACCAAAACAAGATCGACCGAGATCTCAGGGTTATAATACACTCATCTAGTAGTGTGCTTGCAAAATCAAGAACCATTCCATAGATAACACAAGACAATAAAGATTACTAATCTTGGACACACAACTTAATCTTTGTCTTTCAAAGGACTAATGCAAAACCTTACTGCAGAAATGAACAATTTTTGAATTGCTTATGGAATCAATCAAAGATTAAAGTGATTCTAAAACATTGGAACACTAAGCTTCTCTTGTAAAGACATTGATTACTTACAAAACTGCCTTAAGAACACAATTTCGTCAGGACAAAATCAATCTAGAGACTAACAAAGCCAATCAAAGATCAAACGAATCAAACCAAGAGCTAACCATCTGGACCAAGAGCAGATCGTTTCCTCGGATCATTCAAAATCGAGGAACCGTGTTTCAACACATTCTCCGACCGGCGAAGTTTGAGTTTACGAACGAGGCTAAGATACTCCCAAGCTCCACCTCCGCCATTTTCGACCTGAATCTCAAGCTGGTTCAATTGCGTCTCCTCTGTTTTCGTCACCATCTCTCTCTGTCTCTTGTGATTTGTTTGTACTACGAACCTTGGGGATCTGTTCATGGAACAACGAAGACAATATCAGACCGGTTCGGTTTATGATTGTACCAATTTGGATTAATGGTAATAACCGTCTCAAGTCAATGATAATAAGAACGCTGCGTTTTGTGTTTTAAATTTTTACTAGGATTTACCTGGTTGTACATTACAGATCCATAATTTAATATACTAGTTGTTGACATGCGCTGCGCGCGGATGGTTTATAAATTTTATATTTTAGTTTTAGTTATATTATAATTTTTTATCGTTTTTTATTATTTTGCATTGTTTGTTTTGTTGGCTTTTTACTGTTGTTATTTTTTGTTATACTATTTTTCATATCGGTAATTTTTTCAATTTTATAGTAATTTAGTATTTGAAATGTTTATCATCATTTGGTATTCGTCAGAGGTCGATGGAAAGTTTATGCGGTATTCTCTCTTTTTACTAAGTATGTGATTAGAGAGATAAAGTTTCCAGTGTTTTGGTTTGATATATTCTAGGATCTGGCTTATTTCCCGTTTTTGCCTACGTTCGAACCCGTGTATTCCGGCCAATAATTTTGAAATCGGTATCGTTGTTGCAGATGTGTCGCTCTTGTAAACAATGGTTCTAGAAAATGTATTCCCTGTTCCGTTTAATCATCCAGTTCCAAACTCGTGTATCCCACGTTTTTATGATTTTTTTAACCGGTCTGATTGTTATGTGTTGGACCTCAGGGCCATGCTTTTTTAGTTTTTGTATTTTGATTGTTGTGGAAGTGTTGGACCTCAAGCCCATATTCTTTTGGATTTAGTAAAAAGAAAAATGATGATGTGGTGGATGATGTGGCGCTGAAGTGGCGGAAGGAGAAGAGAGGAAATGTAACTTTATATATATAGATTTATTTGGTTGATCATTTTCGTAGTTGATTTATATTGTTTAGTTAATATATTTGTTTGGTTGATCATTTTTGTAGTTGGTTTATACTGTTTAGTTTTATACGTGTTTATTTCATTTTAATCTTATATAATTTTATGAATTTATATTATAAGTAGATTCACAGATATATATTTGTTGTAAATAAAAAAATCTATTTTAACTTAACCCGGGAAAAAATTTAAATATAGATAACCTATAAGAAAAATATAATCATATTTATATAAATTCAAACATGTTCGACTGGGGATCCTATTGGTTGGTATTTTACAAAGTCCGGAAAATACACAATGAAATCTGGTTATCAACGGCCCGATTAGCGGATCCACAGATTGTAGCGGCCCAGGTATACGGCCCAGATATTGTTCCTCTACTAATGAGAGTGTGGAAAGGGAAATGTCCACCAAAAATCCAACATTTTATGTGGCAACTTGTTGAACGGATGTATATCGGTCTCGGCAAACTTATGTAGGAGAGGTATAAATTGCGATACTAGATGTGCTCGCTGGGGTTTTTCTGAGGAGGCGGTTAATCATGTTATCTTTGAGTGTCTCCAGCGCGTCAAGTATGGGCTTTGGCCAATGTTCCCGTGGGCTCTCTTCTGTTCCCAACAAAATCGGTTTTTGCAAATCTGGATTATATTTTAAATATGTCCTTAAAGGGAAACCCATATGAGTTTTGCCCTTGGATAATGTGGTAATTTGGGAGAAAATGGCATCTACACCTACTTTAACCCAAACTATTCACCAACACACCCACTTTTTGCTACTCCTATACTTTTTACTAAAGAAAAGACTAACAACTCCTCAAACTCTAAACTCATCTCCTTCTCTTTGTTGGGAAATTGCAACTGGTGTACCCAGTTGACCATTTATTTAAGTATTTAACTTCTATAAAAAAATTTATTAGCTCAATTTTTATGGGACAATTTTCTCCCTATTACTCCCTAAGAAACTAGGATATTGATTTGTGTTTTATCTTCTTCCTTTGACTGCGATAATTAAAATAGAGAGCTTTGGTTACTTTTTTTGGGCAAGATCTTCCATCATCACAAAGTTTTTGATTTGGGTCGTGGTAAACTCCAGAGCCATGGGTTTAGATTTTGTAATTAAACGAAATTATATTTTGCTTGGGTTGATAAAATAGTGGTTAGGGTTTAGAGTTTATAATTAGTTGAAATTATATATTGGTTTGGATTGATAAATAGTGGTTAGGGTTTATATTTTGTAATTAAACAAAATTATATTTTGATTTGGAAATCATTAGTACATAAATAATAGGAAATATACCTGATAACTTTAAATTTATTGGGATTTTTTATTTAGTAAGGAGTTAGATTGTAACTTTTTTGACTGACTTTACAATTATGTAATAATATCATTTTTACCCAAGTCATCATCGCTCTGTGCAAAAGCGGCGTTTGCTGGTAGTACACACAACACAACTCCCTTTTTTTTTTCTTTAACTGAACATAGGGGCATTGGTGTAATTTTGAGTGTGTCAGACAAAAAAAACTAATTTTTCTTTTAACAAGTCTACTTTCTTTATTTTTTGGTCACGTGAGCACGTAAATTTAACTCACCCCTCTTTGTTTCTATAATATTTTTCTATAAAATTGTTATTTTCTTTTCCTAACCAATCTCTCTCCACCCCTTTCATTCTTCACGTTTCTTTATCCCTCTTTACTATTTTTTATTTTCTACAACTGATCTCTCTCAGTTATTAATATATACTGCTTACAACTCCCTCGATCTTCTCAATGACATATGTTCACTCTTTTGCCTCTGTTTTTGTTTTCGACGTGGACATTACTTCGTGGATAACAAGAATTTGTGAACATTGGATAAGACACCAACCACTATATGGTAAAGACAATGCAAACATCAAATTAGTATAAAGAGAATGGAATATATATTTCAAGAGGTTGGGATTAGCTTTTTACTCGCTTTAAGATGTTACTTTATATATTTCTCATGAGTTAGTCTCTCTTACTTCTTTTACTTAAATTAAAAATTGATATGGTACAAGTTAAGATGGATCTGCTTTCTACTTGTTTCTTTGGGTTTATAGACCATTTTTGTGTTATTGTGTATATGAAGCAAAATTAGAGGAAAAGTATCTAAACATCTTATTCAACTAAATTGTGTTTGTTTTAAATCTTCGTATCATATGAAATTTATATTAAGAAAAAAAACTAGACACGCTTTTTTCAGATGCGAGTGATATAGTAATGGCCAATGACACTACGATGGTTGATGGAAACCATCATATCAAATCAATTATAAGCCATCCATAGTATAAATTTTAATTTAGATTTGATTTTACGGACACATTTACCCTATATATATCCATGTGGTAATAATAGTGTGGATACTCGGATGTTCATTAATGTTTGCAGGTTAGGATGTAGCGTATGATTTATGGTTTTGGTTTTAGATTTATATTTAAGATTTATGTTTAGGATGTAGCGTATGATTTATGGTTTTGGTTTTAGATTTATATTTAAGATTTATGTTTAGGATGTAGCGTATGATTTATGGTTTTGGTTTTATATTTACGTTTAGACATTGGTGTTTAAGGTTAGATTAAAGGTTTTATGATTTAAGATATATGATTTAGGGATTAGTTTTTAAAGTTATGTTTTAGGGTTTAGAACTTAGGGTATAGGATTTAGGGGTTTAGGGTTTAAGTTGCAACTCCGAATCCAAACGAAGCTATTGGTAGGGGTTTGTTATTGTTTTAGGTTTTAGGGTTTGGAGTTTAGATTTAAGATTTAGTGGTTGGGTTTAGGTATGTACACTAACTTGATTTTCTTAATTACATCCAAACTAACATTAAAATTGATGTATTCATAAAACCCTAAGTTAACACCAAAAATTTCATATCCATTACAACTTGTCCATATAAAAGTAACAATTACAATAATGGGCATATTATTTTAAAACACTTGTTGTACTATACAGTTTGTGTGGATATGAAAAACTAGAACAATAATAAGTTTGATTAAGATACAAATTGATTCATAGAAAATTGATGGACATCAAAATCACAAAATACATTGTCCATATGACCAATACCACATGGATACTTAATAAACACCTATGTTATAACCGGATGGATAATAAAATATATGAAAATAGATTTTAAAATGGAAGAAGAAAATAATTATAATCGATTGTGCAAAAAAATAATACTATCTTTACTTAAAACTTTATAATTTATCTTATTTCTTTTAATAACAAAACTTCCATGTGTGTGCTTTATCCACAAAAAACTTCTATGACACACAATAACTCAAATGAGGGCAAAAACGTCTTTATGCAACTCAGCCCCTTATAAAATAAAGAGCAAAAGTACACCACACTCACAAAGTAGGTCTACGTGCCAACTTAAACAACCAAAGTGAGTCTATGTGCTATTCACTGTATATTTGGAAGGCGAGGGATGCAAAAGTTTTTGAAAATAAAGATGAAAGTCCTCTGAATGTGTTTTTAATTTTTACTAGGATTTACCATGTGGTACATCACAAGTACACAATTTAATATATTTGTTTGGTTGGCTATTTTCATACTTGGTTTATATAGTTTAGTTTTATACGTGTTTATTTCATTTTAATTTAATATAATTTTATGAATTTATATTATAAGTAGATTCATAGATATATGTATATATATATATAGTCAACTCGCAATACACCACAGGACGATTTTGTTGGAAAAAAAAATTATATTTTAATTTAACCCGGAAAAGATTTTAAATATAGATAACCCATAGGAAAGAATAATGATATTTATGTAAACTCAAACATGTTCAATCATATTTATTTACAATATTATTATATTTTAAATATTCTATATCGCTAAAATTAAATATTATATTATTTGAAGCTTTTAAAAACTTTAATATTTAAAATTTATAATATTTTGAAACTTTTTAAAAGTTTTATTTTTCCTAAATAAAGAACCGGATTAAACTGAATGATATCAACGAATGAAACTTCTCCACGAGATTATAAATGTAATAATGTTAACAATTTTGTTAATTTCGATGAAAATCATGACCATGGTCCACAA